CATTTTCATTCCAATAAATATTTTTAATAATTTTATGACTTAATACAGTCATGTGGATAATATTGTGACTAAGCCCCCCCCCCCCCCCAATATTCATGTTCCTGTTCAACAATGTTTGTCATCATTCTTTTAGCTTTTTTTCAACATTTAGAAAAAATGAAAGAATTCAGTTTTTATGAAATAATAAAAGGTCATTGATAACAATGTATGTAATGTATGTAAATATCAAATATAAACAGAAAACATTATCTGTTATGCAATCAAATTGTTGTTATTGTTATACTAGTCATGTGACCATGTAAATTGTTTCTAAATGTAGTGTATGGTCAATTACTGAGAGTGAATAATAGGCTACTCAGATGTCAACAGAAATCAGTGATCATGATTGATCTAATATCACATGATCACAAATTTAATAGTATATATTTTTTCTCATATTTATGCCATTTCTGTATCAAAACATGCATGTTTGTAGTTTCGTAAGAGTGTGCCAGATTATTTGTTGTGGGGTTAACCAATGACACTATATACTGTAATATAAAAATACTTTTATAGCAGGAAATTAATACAATACAACTGCTGAATGCCTCCACAGATTGACACAGATTGTCAATATCTATCGCTTAGAAAAGCTTCAGCAGATAATGTGTTAATTGGGATATGACACATACAGTCATTCTTTTAAGAATATACAACTTGTGTCAGTTGAAGTTTGCTCACACCCATAGTTATAATCTGTTGTACAAGCGAATATACATCTCAAGATGAAATATTGCCATTTATGAATTCATTTGCAACCACTTATATATGTTATCCTAAATAATATGAGCAAAATGATTGATTTTTTAATTTTTAGATATTACCACAAACTAAGATTGACTAATATGTGACAAAAACATGAACAGAATTGGTAGCTGGGTATCAGAGATATAGTATATGGACAAAAAGCAAGATTATCGACAGTAGACTATTTAGAAAATCAAGTCTTAGAGGCCGTGGTAGGGGTCGCCATCGATCCCTTTCTTTACCAATTAACGCCTTGGGCGATGTCAACGAACCATCAAGATCGCGAACGTTTGATGCCTCAAACCCTAACAATTGGACGGCGGCTATCCCTACATGCATAATGTAAGTACCAAATTTGAACGAAAAGGAATCAAGATGGCCAGTGGGCCATCTAGAATTTGATTGAAGAGCAAATCATTATGTATCCTAACATGTATCTACCCCTTACCTAATTTTAGTAAACATTGACAAAGCGTCTCCAAGATACCACATTTTCAAAAAACAAATGGCTGCCAGATGGCCATCTTGGATCGAATCACTACACCAAAAGGTGTGCATACAATGTATGTCCCACATAAAGTACAAGGCACATGCAAAGAATAAACAGATCTGCATGGTCAAGAGGGTTCTGTAATATGTGTCTGGATGTTAGCTCAAACAGGGGTTTTATGGCCATGTTGCATTGCATGAACTGGATATAGCATGTACAATATGTATTAAACATCAGACTAAATAGCAATCCGATTAAAATCTGATGTAGTGTACGGGCTTAAATTATTTTGGCTATAAACTTATTCTGTTTTTTATTACGTTTGTTATTAATGCCTTTTTATTTTATTATTTTACTTTGATTTTGTGATTTTTTGTAATTTTAACATCTGACCCGATGCCTATGTAACGAGATTTCAACGAGACCCACTATCAACAATTTTAGTCAACGAATCACAGACCTCCTTCTATAGCAGACATGATGACGTCACCGGGCAGAGTCAGGTGGCAAACACACTCAAATAAAATGGCGGATTGTACCGACGTTAGCGACCGAGAAAAACACGTCTTTTCGGTTAGTTTATCATTGTCAAATGCAACGAAAGTCATTTTGTGTGTGTTTATGTTGTTGCTCGAATGGTTCGAGTTTAGATCGTTATTTTGTTTCCACCGGTTCGACCGAACACCTGTGTCATTTTCCAGTCGCTTGCCCTGGAGACGGGTGATGTTTTGTTGACGATCGGGCCAAAATCGCCTACGGTATTGAAGCCGTCGCTGTAAATATTCATCAAACTGTATCAACATTTTGTACATTATACAATAACTCTTTATTAAAGTAATTGAGCTGATTTGGACTGGAATAAAATATTTTTTATTTGGAACACATCGCAATTGATCAGGAAATATTTTTTTGCTCCAATTTTCTGCGTCGATGTCGTGGGCCGGTGACCGTTATACAATTTAAAATCAGTTTACATTGTTTACTATAGCTGTTTACAGTGTTCTTATTACGATTTACTCATTTTTTTGCTTCCATTCTAGATAATTATGCTCAGCGTTTGGTGTAAAATTGAAGCGATGACTGAATAAACAAACCATGGCTGGCGAAAATGTATCAGGAAGTGTACACATTTGTTGGAAGTGAAAAAAAATATTCAATGTAATGACAAAAATTGTAAAATGCTGTGGAATTCCTTTTGAAAATAAAAATATACTAGCAATTTTCTATTAATGGTTCATTCAAGTGGGCAAAATATAATGTACAGAAAGATTGCCTGTAGAGTATCGCTACACTGAAGTATGCAACCGACAACCGACTTACACAAGATTTGAACGGGACTTGCATAAGCGTCGGATCAGATGTATGTAGGGCGGAATTAAAAAAAAATAAAATAATAAAATAAAAAGGCATTAATTTATAGCCAAAATAATTAAAGCCCGTACACTACATCAGATTTTAATCAGATTGACTAAATAGAAAACTGAAAAGCAATGAAACAAGACAAGACTTCAGTACAATGATTGGGGCACAAAAGTAAAACTGATGCTGTTTACCTTTAAAGTGCCACTTTCAACATCTTTCAGCATCACCAAATGTGGAATGTTTTCTTGTTTACAGTAATCCTGTATCTCCTCCAGCGACTGCAAATTACAAAATCACAATTGTAAACCATGATAATAATTTATGCCAATGAATAATCAAGTCTGGGAAATCTGACTAATGATTATTCTTTCCATTCATACATTAGACTTTTTTGTCAACTGACAAATAAATATTTGTTTGAATGTGGCTCAATGACAGTTAACAATATATTATTTGGTTGTATTTAAAGTGCGCATAATTAATTAGGTGATGACATATTGCAGGCAAATATTTTAAACTGCAGTAAAGATAAATTAAAACAGCAATGTATTCCTATAGTTTCAAAAAGTTTCAATATGTTGGCAAAAATAATAATTTTTATAGTATTATGCGATGCAGTATGGTAAAAGCATTAATTTTTTACTAGTATTTACTGTGACTGCAAGAAAGAACAGAAGAGCAATATTGCAGTATGAGACACTGTTATGCTATAGGAAGCGATGGCTAGATTGTGTCTCATACTGCAAAATTGCACTATTTTCAAATAGCTCAATTAAAACTTAATTAATTAATAATTATTGTAATAAATTAAAAAAAATACAATATACACAGTAAAGTGTTAGATCTGTATACTCAGAAATATCGGACACCATTATTTTGATTGTGCTGGGAAGCAAAAACATCCTTGACATTTTTAGTCATCATTGACATACAAAAAAATAAATCTCAAGTGCGGACACACACATGGGTAAAATGGTGCCTTACCAAAGTACTGTCATAGATAAGGTCAGCCCTTAATCCAGCACTCCACAAATCACGCACAACTTTCAGTCTTTCTTTTAATAAAGGTTTACTGCCCACAACACATACAAGGATATCAACAACGCTTGGTGCCTGTCAACAGAAAGTGTGAAAATTACTTGATTTGGCAATGAAGTCTCTCATAGGATAACACATTGGAAGCTATACTGCACAACCAAAAATTTCAGTTATTGAATATATAACTAAATGTCCATTCAAAAACAAAATATACTAAGGCAGTACATGAATGCAATAGCAATGATTAATTAATATACATTATGTAATACATGTATCAGTGATTATTAATTACTACACAGAATACATACATATGTAATATCAGTGATTATTAATTACTACACAGAATACATACATATGTAATAGCAGTGATTATTAATTAATACACAGAATATATACATATGTAATATCAGTGATTATTAATTAATACACAGAATACAGACATATGTAATATCAGTGATTATTAATTAATACACAGAATACATACATATGTAATATCAGTGATTATTAATTACTACACAGAATACAGACATATGTAATATCAGTGATTATTAATTAATACACAGAATACAGACATATGTAATATCAGTGATTATTAATTAATACACCAAATACATACATATGTAATATCAGTGATTATTAATTAATACAGAGAATACAGACATATGTAATATCAGTGATTATTAATTAATACACAGAATACATACATATGTAATATCAGTGATTATTAATTAATACACGGAATACAGACATATGTAATATCAGTGATTATTAATTAATACACGGAATACAGACATATGTAATATCAGTGATTATTAATTAATACACAGAATACATACATATGTAATATCAGTGATTATTAATTAATACACAGAATACAGTACATACATATGTAATATCAGTGATTATTAATTAATACAGAGAATACAAACATATGTAATATCAGTGATTATTAATTAATACACAGAATACATACATATGTAATATAAGTGATTATTAATTAATACACAGAATAGACATATGTAATATCAGTGATTATTAATTAATACACAGAATACATACATATGTAATATCAGTGATTATTAATTACTACACAGAATAGACTTATGTAATATAAGTGATTATTAATTAATATACAGAATACATACATATGTAATATCAGTGATTATTAATTACTACACAGAATACAGACATATGTAATATAAGTGATTATTAATTAATACACAGAATACATACATATGTAATATCAGTGTTTAATAATACACAAAGTAAATATAGCATATATTTTATTATTAAATATACAGCGTGCATTATACATAGTACAATTGCCCATATTAATGACTCCCTACTTTACAGTACTACCTGGTATTATTAACCATAACAATAAATATGGATTAACGCTGTCATCACAGGGTTCCAAGTGAAGGCCAAATATTTTAATAGAATATATGACATTATCATTAAAGGGTGTTATTTAGATTGAAGGTAATTGTTGCAATATTTGTAAATATGGTCGACAAATCACAAAACATATGTAATGGCAGGAAACAATTCTTGTTTCTGCCTGCCTGTCAATAAAATATGCAAAATTTTCTTACTTTGATTGAATTAAATGGCGGCAATTTTAGTGTAATTTGCAGTGAAAATGACTATTCTATCAATCAAAATGTTTTTGTTTTTTTGTATTTGATGCAACAACTGTCTCTCTAAAGTATATCAAAAAAATTCTCAAATTTCAGTGATATGAGAAACTATTTTTTTTTTTTTTTGCCTAAATTGTTGCCAGTCAATAGTGCTTGCAGCAAAAATATCAGGTCTATATTAAAATGAGAAGATTTTTAAACATTTTAAGCCAATTTATGGAAATCAAAAAAGCTGGTGAACATTATCTGACCAGTAAAGATTGTTTTAAATGAATCCTGTATCTTCTAGCCACTAAAGCTACAAAACTAATGTTGAAAGATAGATGGACTAGTTCATATCAACCCCAGACATCACATAAAATTTGAAAAGATTCTATCATTTTTCTCAAACAAGCTGTCAACAAAACAGCGAAAGAAGAAGTCAATTTTTAGTGTCTGTGTGAATTATTTATAAAAAATGTGGATTATAATTAAATAATGCAAGAGCATTTAGTATGTTAATGTACTGCCTACTGAGCAAGACAACCATCTTGAATAAAATCAATCTGAGAAATTGTAAAACCAACATGGCCACCAGTCATCCATTTTTGATTACCTCAAAACAAAACAGTCAAAGGTAAACAGAAAAAAACTAATTGATCTACATATATTTCAAGCTTTGCTTTTGTACCAACTTTGAATAAAATCGGTTCAAGTATGTGCAAGAAATATTGTCTGATGAACACACAGATGCATGCACAAACAAAACCCAAAACATTAATCCCAAATTGGACAATAGGGCTCAGAAAAGAAAAAGACTGATGCTAACAAAAAAGGCCAGAAGCTCTAAAAATATAATTACTCACATAGTCAGTTTCTTCTTGGACTGCAGAGACAAGTTTATCAAAAGCTAGACTCACACCGACAGCATGCTGTGTATGAATTGCCATATTACTATCTACTGGGGCTTTGAAGTGTGATATCTGGAATAAACAGAATAAATGGACAATCAGTACTAGTCACCCCCCTCAACATTTATTTTATTTCAAATGAAACACATGATATTCCCAAATCAGAAAAAGCACTATTATGCATACCTTCGGCAGTAAATTATAATGTACATCTATCTCAAAAACTAAGTTTCAATATGTAAAATTATGTGTGCAATTTTTTATTTGCATTTTCTGATTTGTTCAAATATTTTTTTTATATTGCAATTCTCCCACACAGATTTTCTGATTTTCAAATTGTATTGCAGCAAATAAATCATCAGTTTCTGTTGCCACTATTGCTACTGATAAGACAAGACAAATTCCAAGATATCACATTGTATTACAGGGTGTTACTGATAAGACAACACAAATTTCAAGATATCACATTGTATTACAGGGTGTTACTGATAAGACAAGACAAATTCCAAGATATCACATTGTATTACAGGGTGCTACTGATAAGACAAGACAAATTCCAAGATATCACATTGTATTACAGGGTGCTACTGATAAGACAAGACAAATTCCAAGATATCACATTGTATTACAGGGTGCTACTGATAAGACAAGACAAATTCCAAGATATCACATTGTATTACAGGGTGTTACTGATAAGACAAGACAAATTCCAAGATATCACATTGTATTACAGGGTGCTACTGATAAGACAAGACAAATTCCAAGATATCACATTGTATTACAGGGTGCTACTGATAAGACAAGACAAATTCCAAGATATCACATTGTATTACAGGGTGTTACTGATAAGGCAAGACAAATTCCAAGATATCACATTGTATTACACGGTGCTACTGATAAGACAACACAAATTCCAAGATATCACATTGTATTACAGGGTGTTACTGATAAGACAAGACAAATTCCAAGACATCACATTGTATTACACGGTGTTACTGATAAGACAAGACAAATTCCAAGATATCACATTGTATTACAGGGTGTTACTGATAAGACAACACAAATTCCAAGATATCACATTGTATTACATGGTGTTACTGATAAGACAACACAAATTCCAAGACATCACATTGTATTACAGGGTGTTACTGATAAGACAAGACAAATTCCAAGATATCATATTGTATTACACGGTGTTACTGATAAAACACAAATTCCAAGATATCACATTGTATTACAGGGTGTTACTGATAAGACAACACAAATTTCAAGATATCACATTATATTACAGGGTGCTACTGATAAGACAACACAAATTCCAAGATATCACATTGTATTACAGGGTGTTACTGATAAGACAACACAAATTCCAAAATATCACATTGTATTACAGGGTGTTACTGATAAGACAACACAAATTCCAAGATATCACATTGTATTACAGGGTGTTACTGATAAGACAACACAAATTCCAAGATATCACATTGTATTACAGGGTGTTACTGATAAGACAAGACAAATTCCAAGATATCACATTGTATTACAGGGTGCTACTGATAAGACAACACAAATTCCAAGATATCACATTGTATTACAGGGTGTTACTGATAAGACAACACAAATTCCAAGATATCACATTGTATTACAGGGTGTTACTGATAAGACAAGACAAATTCCAAGATATCACATTGTATTACAGGGTGTTACTGATAAGACAACACAAATTCCAAGATATCACATTGTATTACAGGGTGTTTAAACTCATCAATAGGTCCCTTGCTGCTACTTTGTCTTTGCACACCCACAATAGAAAGATGAAGGACAAAGTTGAATACAAATCTTTGTATGATATTCTGCAGAAATACATGTATCTTACAAATTGTGTATGGATACCGAGATGTTATTAATTATATTATGTCCTGCTTCATTGTGTAAATAAATAAAAGAAAAAAATATTTTCAATATTTCACAAATATATCATAAACTTCTGTAACCTGGATGACACGCTGACTGAAACTGTATCAACCCCTGAACATACACACTTTTGACGCACATTGTAGCTAAGCAACCAGAGAATGAGAAACTTGGATATTGTATGAAGGTGATATAATTAATATCCGAACAATTAGGCAACAAATAAGGATGATTCAGAATTGCTCTTCCTGCCAAAAATGAATCAGGACTGAGTTATCTTAGTTGTTATCGTAGCAGAAATAAATAACTATCAATTAGAGAAAATGACAAACTGCTCCTCCTGGCAATCATATATATCCAGCATATTACTTACTAATTTGTCATATCTACCACCGCCAGCAAGGATATCCATGACGATTTTCTTTTTCTTATGACTGACTTCAGCAATAAATTGGAAAATCAAACCAGAAAAAAAATGCGCATTGTATGTCAGACCAAGAGATATTTCCATCTATGAAAAAATGATATAATATGTGCATTGTATGAGACAGGCGTATTTCCATCTATGAAAAAATGATATAATATGTGCATTGTATGAGACAGACGTATTTCCATCTATGAAAAAATGATATAATATGTGCATTGTATGAGACAGACGTATTTCCATCTATGAAAAAATGATATAATATGTGCATTGTATGAGACAGATGTATTTCCATCTATGAAAAAATTATATAATATGTGCAATGTATGAGACAGACGTATTTCCATCTATGAAAAAATGATATAATATGTATATTGTATGAGACAGACGTATTTCCATCTATGAAAAATGATATAATATGTGCATTGTATGAGACAGACGTATTTCCATCAATGAAACAATGATATAATATGTGCATTGTATGAGACAGACGTATTTCCAACTACAAGTACATGTACAAAAATTAAGCGTTGCATGTTAGACCAAGAAATATTTAATAAATAAAATTTTGCTTAAAATTTCTCTTACAAATTTGTTTTTGCCATAATTGGTTTTCAGAAACATCTATTCTGAACAATTTACTGTCAGTTTAAATTAAAAAAATTAAGGTTTGGCAGATTAAGTGTTACCAATTAGTTATGTGTATCCAATTAATTGATGAGACAGCTGACAATATCGTGTTCATGTCATTATCAATCTATCCAACAAAAGCTTGTATTAAACAGAAGTGACAATAAAAGTCAAGGTGTTGATCAGAAAATATGCTGACCATCTTCAACACCCTCAATATGTGATGAATGAGTGATTATAAGGAACACTTTCCTTCCAAGGTGATATCAAATAATTGGCACGGCTAACAAGTCAAAATGCAGAAAATTTTAAAAGTACATGTAGTACAAATTTGTTATATTTTATTGAGTGAAAATTCAATTCTATGACAGAACCCCACACCCTCCCTGTGGCTTTCATTGCATATGAAGTTATTTTCATGAGTGATGCGGTGTATGCTGCGGCCGTACTTTCACAAGCAAAGCACTGAGTTGCACGCTACAACTTTGTGTATGATGTTGCTTGCTGGCCGTGGATTGACCGAGTCTTGGTTACCGGTTAAAATGTTGCTCATTTGGGGTTCAAGGTTTATAAAACTCAGTTTCCTGGTGGTCAACATACATTAAGTTCTCTCAATCGTAGTATTCCATGTGATGTACACTTAACACGCCAAAAATGTTGCCTGACGATTTGAACTGGATAAAAATATGACGAAAATGTGTTTACAAAATAAAAATAGTTCGGTAGCCAATGGAAATACCATGTTCATTTGCATATCGACCGTGAAAATACCGAAAACATTATTGCATGGGTGATATGCAAATTAGTTTTAGTCAAAATAAGTGACTTGATAAAAGTACCATTACTATTGTTCAAATTTTATTTCACTCGGCAAGTATATTCACGTACTCCAAGAGAAAAATATGGTACTTCTAAATATTGTTTATTTCTGCCTTGTTTCGAAAAACGGTACTCCTGAAGGAACTACTTTGTTTGCTCTCAGGCCTCATTTGCATATGAGGTGTGGAAATACCGATTTTGTTTTCAAGGACGAATCAAAATAAACTGCAGTACATATGTAATACTATAAATTATGGGGGTACCCAAATTTGTTTCCATTGAATACCACTTTGGTATTTCCCTGTAGCATTAAGCCCTATTCTGACACATATTTAAAATTGACAACTGGCCAAAATAAATACAACCAAACTTTCAAATAACCAATTGCATTATCATAAATGGGATATGTGATTTGTCCAATTATTTATTGTTTATCTCTATGGATCTGTATTTCTATTTCATCAATATTTGTCTCACAGCCACATATATCTAGAAACCATGCAAAATAAATATATTAATTTTTATACAATAACGTTGTGATATTGCACTGTTTTACTGTAATCTTGGTAATTTGACTCAACGCTCATCAAAATATGAAGATAACTGATAAATATGGCACAAAATCACAGGATTGTAGTGTAATAAGTTGTAAAACGAGTCAGATGCATCCAATACCTGTAATTTGATACCAAAGACCAGTGCATGTGACATGATAGCCTCTAGTTCATGTAACCCTTGTTTGGCTGATGAAGCATTTGCACCTTTTGCTCGTGTAATAGGTTTCAATATCTCATTCACTTTGCTGTAGGAACCCTCAATTTGCATGTACTTATTAAAATTCAACACCTGAAAAACAAAATGATATTTATACATTAAAGACTTTATAAAAGTCATGTGTTTGTTTGTGTGTGTGTGGTATCAACGTTGTGACGACTTCAATTTAACTTTACAGCGACTTGTGACGACAGGACCTACATTATGACGACCCTCACCCTTAATTTATATTAATATTTAATCAAATCTAAGTCAAATTGTGTAGCTTAGGTTTAGTAAAGGGGAAGGTATGGTTCAATTTATATTAATATTAATATAGTTGTACCATAGCTACCCCCTTTACTAAACCTCAGCTTTGCAAACATTTCTATATTAGGTCACGAGATACTCAACATTTATTTAATTAAACTTAGTTAAAACGCAATTTTGAATTGCATTGTAATTGAGTTTAATTAAACTCAAATTAAAATGCAACCCTATAGTAACACATTTTTAATAGAGTTCATATTGCAACTATATTAAAAGTTAATCCAATGTGTGTCGTTACAACAATGGTAAGACGTGTATGTGTGTGTGTTAAGGGGGGGGGGGGGGGGTCTATTTTAGCCTTTTATCCAAAACACCAGATTTGACAACTTTAAACAGAGGAAGCAGTGTAAACGTCAATGCAATGAAGGTAGATGAGGTAGGAGACGAGAGATATATTATAATACCTCATTATGTTATCCTAGTGCATCTTGTTTATGTGTTTAGCTTTTTGACTTGTTGTGTTAAACCCAAAATGCTAACTGTGAAATATTAAAGTACATGTATACTAATAAGATAATAGCAAGATATAATTTTAAAAAAAAACTGTTATCAAGGCCAAAAAGTTAGACATCTATGCAGCAAATGCTGCTACGTAAACTCATGACATTTTTTTTAAAACTGATCGTACAACAAATTTTCCTGAGAATCAATGCTGATTTTTGAGGAAACCGTTTTGAATATACAAAAGACTTTTGTATGACAAAAAAACATAAAAATCAATCAATTAATAATTTTTAGGTCTAAGGTATCTATCAACTTTAATATGTCAATGAGATAAACTTAACGAAGTAAAAAAATCGTCTCTGAGATCCTTACCGTTTGATCTGACAAAGACAAACTACATAGTCGTGTTTGTCTCTGAGTGTGAGTAAGCTTTTCATTTTTAACATCATTCATAATGTCATAAACTTGAAGATGTTTGTCTTCTGGGATACCACAATAGTTGAGAATAGCCTTCAGCAAGGAAGTATGGTTCAACTTAAGAATATAATTACGTCCCTGGGGAGTAAGACAGAGAAATAACTGTTCAGCTTAAGACAGTTCACTTACTGTGAATACATTAATATTTCACTGGGTTTTAATTTTGCATATGTAAAATCTAATTCTAAACTAAATCCACATCCATGTCAAGTGAACAAGCAGCTTCTCGGCTGAGATAGCTCCGGTATTAGTAATGCACGTTTCAACAAGCAGCCTGTGGGCATTGCACATTTCAATTAAAAAACTGAAGATATCATTAGAAAATAAACAATATGTATAGTATAAAAGCAATCAGACTCGCTGTTTTCAACAAGAATTAGAAAATATCACTTTTTACCGAATATGACAAAAATATTCATCAAAATTAAAGAATTGAAGATAATATTACGAAATCTGAGAGAGGTCTGCCCAAGGTACATATACACCAAGTATAATAGCATTCAGGCTTGTAGTTTTCAAGAAGAAGTCGAAAAAGTAAAAAGTTGACAAAGACGACGATGGACGCATACGGACAATCACTCGTACGATAAGCTCCACTCGACAAGGGTCAACAGCAGAGCTAAAAATGCAATGTTTCCTTTGTGAATATACTCAAAATAGTTAATTTAAATTAAATGCCACTGAAAATAAATGGTTTTACAGAAAAGGAAAAGCTCACAAATTAATAATTTTTAAATAATTAAAATCTCATCTCTCCTCCACACTCTATTTTTTAGTAAATGATAGCATTAACAAGTCACTGTTATAGTGCCTTCAACATCTCTAATTCACTGTTAATGACATAGTCCCCTTCCAGTATGCAGTGCCTTCAACATCAAAAATAAATCACATAACCAAATAGATGTGGAAACGTTCAAATAATGGCTGATGTGGAAACGTTCAAATAATGGCTGATGTGGAAACATTCAAATAATGACTGCTGTGGAAATGTTCAAATAATGGCTGATGCGGAAACGTTCAAATAATGGCTGATGTGGAAACGTTCAAATAATGGCTGCTGTGGAAACGTTCAAATATCGGCTGATGTGGAAACTTTCAAATAATGGCTGCTGTGGAAACGTTCAAATAATGACTGATGCGGAAACATTCAAATAATGGCAGATGTGGAAACGTTCAAATAATGGCTGATGTGGAAACGTTCAAATAATGGCTGCTGTGGAAACGTTCAAATAATGACTGATGCGGAAACGTTCAAATAATGGCAGATGTGGAACCGTTCACATAATGGCAGATGTGGAAACGTTCAAATAATGGGAGATGTGGAAACGTTCAATAATGGCTGATGTGAAACGTTCAAATAATGGCTGATGTGGAAACCTTCAATTATGGCT